TCCCTGCTCCCAATGAAATCATGCAGAATTTTTCTATTGACTTAAGTAGCAGGTACATTGGTGTCTGTATATCCCTTAGCAGTTGTTGGAGGGGAAGAAAATAACAGTCCTACCGTGATATCCTTAATCAGAATTTCCCCTTTCCTATCTATTATGCAAGCTAATTGTCACGTTCTACCTCAGAGAGGGATGCATTTTAATTTGGCTCTAAGCACTTTGGTTGTGAAATGCTTTAGTATCCCAGATAATATCAGTGATTTTGGCTAAGGTTTACTGCCACCTTTAAGAAATTACATTTTACTGTAGACTCCTTTGCTACCTATTGATTTTCTTTTTCTGGGTCAGGGAAATTCGAAGATTAGTAATCAGCCATCACAAAGGGCAATGTTCATGTTATAGACATATCCATCCTTTAGCAACTGAATAGAGCTGTGAAAAGGTAGCTCTTTCGGGATAAGACTGGACTTTTAGAAGTGACACCCAGGCTTGGGAGTGGGGAGAGGGCTGCAAACAAGGCTAGGTCTAGTAGAGGCAGCTTTAACATTAAATTAGGACAAGCTAATATATTCATTTGTGTCATCTCACCTTTACTTGTCAAAGAGTGTATCCAGCAATGGAGAGTTCTGATTGACAGACTCATTAAGGGGCTGATTCCAGTTCCCATATTTACTTTACTTATTAAGTAGCTCCACTGAGTTCAAAGGGGCTACTTGTGAATTCAAGGTATTATTGAATATGGCATATGAAAATCAGGTCCTAAGCAGAATGTAATAGTGTCTACCTTTAAACTATTTTGATACAAAACAGAATAAATATACTAGCATGTCTTGATTTTTTAGGAGGTTATGATGGTGACTTTACTATGATGACGCTTCAGTCAAAAGGTACTGTAAGATCTTTTCCTCTTTTGTTCTAACCAAAACCAAAACCCAAATGCAGATAAGCATTAGCAGTCTTCACCTTTGTACAATGATGCACTTTAACATCAGCTATGTGTTTTTTCCCAACAATGCCAGAATAGAGCAATTAGGCAAATGATGGAAATGAACCCTTTACTGTAAATATTTTATAAATAGCAGCTGTTAACAGTCTGCCATTTCGGTATTGCAAAGACTATTCTATCTGGAGTAAATGAGTATGAGAAAGACATCTCCAAGTTAAGAAATCCCAGGGATTACTGCTTTACTCTGACTCTTCTTTTCTGTAATAGCAAAAGCTTGGGGAGGGTGGGGGAAGTGCAATAACATGCTTTGCAATGTGCCCAATGAATTTTTCTACTTGTTTTTGCCTAAAAATTGAATTTTTCTGAAATATTAGCTCTGTGACTAGAGCAGCAAAAATCCCCACTACAATATCTGTAGCCTAAACCAGATTGTATCGTCACATCTTCATCCTATCACTTTAGATAAACTTTCTCCTCCATAAAGGCCAGAAATCTCATGTGCCCCAGAAAGCCAGTTAAGCCACCATTATGGAAAAAGTGTGTTTCCTCCTGCAAATCACGGAGAATTAGTGTACCATATCAGGGAAGAAAGGCTAGTTTTGTATGCTGTTGTCTATTTAAAAAATACAATAGCATATCGCAGTGTTGTCTTCAAGTCGTCATTGTCAAGTCCAAGTTGAATCTCAAGTCACTACAGTTCAAGTCTCAAGTCGAGTCTCAAATCCCTAAAGTCACTGTTGAGTCAAGTCCCAAGTTGAGTCTCAAGTCTTAATTTAAAAAATGTCAAGTCACTTTTGTACAAGCCATCAATATTGGCATTTTTGGACAATTTTTTCACCAAGTCGATTTAACAAAATTAGCAAGTCTCAAGTCGAGCCTCAAGTCACAAAACAATGAACCCTAGTCGAGTCTCAAGTTGAGTCACCTAGGCGACTTAAGTCAGACTCAAGTTCAAGTCGTGGGACTCAAGTCCACAACTCTGATATATCATGGGCTATCTTACCGAGGAGTGTAAAAGAATGGCCTACTTGTTATGATTGGGAGCCTCAGTGGGCAGTCAGAAGAAAAAGTGGGTACTTGTGTAGAGGAAAACTTTTTTACATGATAAGAGCGGATGGTTGGTGATCTTATTTTTCATTTCATAGGAAATTCAACAATATATGTTTCCTATTCTGAAATGGAATGAAAACAAAATATTTCAAAATTTCACATGAGATGGAATTTAAAAAATCATTTCAAATCAAAGTATTTGTTTTGATAAAAATTAAACCTTTTGGTTCTGATTTTTTCAATGTTTTAAAAATATTTCATATAAAATAATTTGGTTTCAAAAAGTATTTTCACTATGAAAAATCAAAATGCTTCATTCTCAAAATGTTGAAATGGGATATTTGGGCATTTTCAGAATGCTTTGTTTCGTGTTTTTCCCAAGAAACAATATTTAGTTGAAAGTGACATATTTCATTTTGACAAATACATCAACTTTAACAAAATGCACAGTTTTGACAGCTTCAGCACACTCACTACCCAGCTGTAAGGACACAATACTCTCCTGTGATTAAATGGAGCTTCAGCCCAAGAGACAAAGGCCTCGTCTACACTACCAATTTTTATTGACAAAACTGACACCCAAAAGTCAACCAAACAAAAATCGCCAGAGGGTGTTCGTACTTGCCTCCTCTGTCAACAGATCATGTTCACATTAGGAGCACCATCACAGACAATGTGAGCAGAGCACTGTGGGTATGTATCCGACAGTGCAGTGTTGTGGAAAGGCAGAGCTGATCTCTGTGCTTTTGGGGATTCCCTCCAGAGCCCTGTGAGCTCTCTGTGCTGAGGAGTGTCAAAGCAGTAGGGCAATCTGTGCCCCTCCCCCTGCAGCAGCAGTCTGCCTGCTCTTGTGTTCCTAGTGCAGGGCACAACAGGAGCATGCCAATATTTCCTAAGTGAGGCAGCTCACTTAGCTGTCAGCTGCTTCCAGGAGCTTTGAAAGAGGAGGGGTACATGCCTGCAAGGTGCCTGCTCTCACTGCATTGTCACCAAAAGGCAATTTTTGGCAACAAAACTTGGTAGTGTAGACAAGGCCTAACAGTTCAGAAAGTGGTTTCTTTTAAGTCTCTGCCCTATTCTCTCTCTCAGTATATGTTCAAACTCTTGAAAAGATTCAGTTCACAGAGGTTAGAGAGTTTTGCTTTGCTGTTGGGGTTGGAACAACCCGCAAAACAAAATGAAAATTCAGATGAAGCCTCCACATTTTGCCTTGACCTGGAATGAAAAGGTCACATAAAATCAGTAATCACAGAATGCAACATGGCTTACTCCCAAAACTGTAAATCAACCTTGAATTCAGTGGAAACTCTCCCAGGGTTTTGCTCAAAACATATCCCTGTTTTGCTGAACGGTTCAGAAATGTTGGAGAACTCTGCCCAAGTAGAATTTCATCATTAAAGTTTCATACAGCTCTAATGCAGAACTGACAGACAGAAAGAAAGGTATGGGGTGCAGATCAGACTCTACAACCATCTATTGGAACTAATTTTGTAACTTTTACTATTTAAGATGCCAGATGACTTCAGTTAAGGGAAATGGTGATTAAAACATTCTTTGAAATTGGAGCTGTTAATAAACAGAACAAAGGAAAACTATTCTTGCAAAAGCAACAATAACAGTATTTCTGTGAGTTTAGCTCTTATTTTAATCAATACCATTCTGTCAAAAAATGTGATAAAACGGATCAAATTCTTCTCTTAGAAGCAACAGTGTAAATCTGGAGTGACTCCGCTGGTGGAACAGATCAAATCAACCCTATTTCAACATAAAAACTGTGTCTGAATTACATAAATATCCAAAGCTTTTGTTTTGAGAGATCTGAACTGAAGCTCTTGTGTCTTGTACAGCTCTCCACGGCAGGACAATTGTAACTGACTAGCCTGTGTTCCCCAAATGGCGGGTCCTTACCCACTCGGAGTGTTGGGAGAAGATAACCCATATTTGGTCCATAGGCAAATGTATATTTGTGGAAGGGTTGCCCTAGAGATAGTGTTATGGGATGAGTTGCAAGCCCGTCCTGTGATCTTCCTGCATCAGCAGCTCCTGTCTCATGGAGCTGGGCTTGACATCCTCTCCAGGCCAAACTAAGACATTGTGACCCTGTGCACCAGTTGCAATACCCACAGTGAAGAATGAGGCTCATCTCGGTAAGACAGGAGTCACTGCTGTGAGGTGAACTCCCTCTTCAACCCTTCTCTCACCAAGGCTTTCTGTCTGCACCAGGACAGGACTAGGGTGGTGATGCTAGAGCAGAAGATGCATAGATGTAATGGTGGGTCGCAAAACAAGAGTGCATAGTTGGTGGGTCACCTTTGTAAAACGTTTCGGAATGTTTTACTAGTGAACTCTGTTAGTCAGATGTTTATAATTTTAACAAAAATGTGCAACAAGTGTCACAATTTCAAGGGCCTTTTTGTTTTCAGAAGTTAGAGATTAAACTGAAGTTTAGCATTTACTAAAATTTTAGGACTAATCTGAAAAAATTGTTTTAAAAGTTACAGACTAACATGACTATCCCTGTGAACATTTTTATTATGTAAAGATTTGTTCATGTATAAAAGGATTACTACAAACATTCAGTGCATTAAGTTTTTCCTTTATTTATTTGCTAGAGATGCTAAGAAGCTAGGTAATGAAAATATAATCAGGTCTTGATTATTGAAGTAGGGAAGGAACAAGCACTTTTTAATAGAAAACTGGAAATCTCTCTTATATTAACAGTAGTAAACTTATTTTTCGATCTGTTCACTCCCCACTGAAGTCAGTGGGAGTTTATTTCAGGAAGGGTAGCAAGATTGGATTGTTAATTTGTATTTCAAATGACATTTTTGTTGCCTGTTCATTAATATGCAGAGAATGTTGTCAGAAATTTTTAAGATAAATATGGTCAAACTCTATTAATTTATTAAATAAATACTTTGTAATAAACATTGACCTTTTTTAGTGAAACCCATCCAATAATTTGGCAGGTAACTTATCTGCCAACTGTAGATTCCAGGCAAGAATAAGTGTTCACATTCATTGTGAAAAGAGAGAGAGAGAGAGAGAGAGAGAGGAAGAGAGAGAGAGATTATTATGAAAGAGATTTTACATTACAGTATACCTATTGGTACCTATTGGCTGGACTTTTCAAAGGAACCTAAGGGAACAAGGTGCCTAATTTCCTTATCTACTTTAGATAACCTAGTCGATTGTCATGTACTTAGGACAGGGAAATGGAAATCTTTTGGTGGTGGTGTTCTCAGATTCTTTACTTACTATTCAACATTAAGCAAGCAACAACCTCGCGGGACATAAATTTTGGCTTTTATAAAATAAGAATAGTATAAGCCTGATGTGAGGCTTAATGCATTGCTGTCCATCAACTGATTTCAAATTCTCTGACAGAAGCTCTTTTATTAGTTTAACACAATGCAGCATTATTTACTTCCAAGAAATCAGAGTCTCTTGATTATGATAAAACTGTATTAAATACACTGGTTTCCTAACATTGAACTGACATATATTTGCAATGTATTAATCTCAATATAGCATACAATGTACGTAGCCAGCATATCTTGATTGGTAAACAAGGATGACACCTCTGTTAACACTGAAATTTAAAATTATGTAAACCGATGTGGCCTATTATAAAAATACCTTTTGAAAAGAAGTTGTTTTGTATGTCCACAGAGAGAAACTGGCTTGATCTTACAAAGTGTTTGGAAAAGAATAAGAAAAAAAGACCAGAAATAATTAGCCCCGTGGTGTTTATAGCGCTTAGCACATGTTCAGAAGAGAGGCACTTTTTCTGAATATGTGAATAGTCTTGAGCTCCAATGATTTGTTACCTACTAAACAAGGTGCCAGGGTGAATCTCATGCATTATGTTTGGTGCCTGAGGAGTTAATC